CACAAGAACTAATTCGATCGATCACTCTCTGGATCCTTTCACAATGGTTCGGTTATTTCCTTGGATACTTGGACTGACCGTCCTCACTGGTTGTGAGTGCCTCAGCATAATCTCCACTTTTCGGAGATTTTCTGGTTACGCCATCTTGATTCCCTGAAAACCCGAGGTCAACCTGGCCAAAGTCTGCTCCAGGTCGTCACAACGACAGGCAGTCGCAGCACTTGTGAATCAAAGGAAAATTTACCACCATGCGACTTTGATACCAAGGCAATGGTAGATCTTTCTATTGGTTTGCTCTTAGCTAAGCTTTTTGATGGAAAAGCCGGACTCCTTCTCAGCTTGAGAGACACTTTCAGGGGTATGAACCCCCACTTTGCATTGCACCCCTACACCCTAGAACACCTCCCAGCCACAATGAGGCGGCAAACCGTTGGGAGGTGTTCCTGTTTGCCCGTTGAAGGTTTTACTGCAAGAAATACCAAACATGTGCTTTTTTTGTGCTTGTCTTACACGTCGTATTTTTTTTCTTGATACCGTGTTGGTTAGTAGTAATGCTCCGAAATTGGATGCATTCTATGACTGAAGTATGCTTGAATTGATCCATTACTGTGATTTGTCGTCCGTTTTACCTAATCATAACCGCGTTACTATCGTTTTTTTGTCGAGTAAAAGATAAAGGATAAAGCGTCAGCACGGACCAATTTCACAGTGTCCCTCCGTACACTCAGCTCCATTCGTAGTCTGTTAAAGGTAGTCGAGTGCTTATTTGCCTCATATGACGAATTTTAGAGGCCTGCCGACATATCACGTCATTGTTTCCATCCCCGAAAAAGTCAGGTAACAGTTTTCCGACCCTAGAAGGGCAGGAACATGTGTTGCTCTAGGCGGAGTATCGAACTAATTATTTCTGCGTGTGCGTGTGCGCGTGCGTGTGTGTGCCTGCCTGCCTTCCTGCTTGCCTGTCTCTATTTTTGTGTGTGCCGCTTTAAGGCACTTCTAACCAATGCACTATTGCCTTCATTTCTTTTAGTTCCAAAGAGGAAGTAAAACTAAAATATGTAGAAAACTATGAATGTCTCCTGTTCAATCAACAAGCAGCTATTCCGTAGTGTTCTATTTGTTGCCCACATGAAAACGACATCTGTTAATGATGTTGCCGAGAATTTCTCATACACACAAGTACATTCCCTGGTCGCGCCGATTTTACAATTGTGGGTAATTATTTAGAAATACTTTCAATAAAAGGTCACCTGTCTGACTTCATTGTACTTTGCACTACATTTTACTACTTTTTACTTGCAAATTGGATTTCATATAAAGTGAAACCATTACATAATGTAGCATTTTTTTAACAATCACAAGACTATATTTATTTATGCGATCTTATAAACTGATCTTCTTAAGCTGACGCGAGGTTGGTATAGATCTTCGTTGTCGTTGTGGTTGTCGTTGTTTTTGATGTTATTGAACGATGGCTGACGTTTCGGCGACTTCGCCTTCCTCAGAGCCTGGATGTACTTTATGTTAGAATACTTTTCATCGTCTGTTCCACACAAGAACAGATGGATGAGTGCTTTGAATTATTAAACCGACAGTCAGGGTATATAAAATTTACACGAGAAAAACCTACCGAGAACTGGCTTCCATTCTTAAACATCCAAATAAAGCTCTCAGTAAGTGGCTATTTAACAAAATGGTATCGCAAGCCAAGTAGTAAAAACATTCTAGTCCACTGCCTCTCCTCTCATCCTTCACACATAAAAAAGCACTTATCAATAATATGTATCGTGCGGCTAAAAATGTATGTACAGGAGAAGGGGAAAGGAAGGAATCGCGAAACCTGGCACGAAAAATTGCCATTTCCAATGGCTACGAAGTAGAAGCCACTCGGGTTAGAGGAAAACACTGGGTAGTTTCCCAAAATAATATTTCAGACGACAGTAGGATCTCCTTTAAGCTGCCCTTCATATCAAACGAAGTAAGTCACTCCATTAAAAAGTGCTTAAGAAAAAGTGGTCTTGAAAATTATGTAACGATTGTTGACATCCCACCCAATACCCTACGCCGCCAGTTAGTTCGAAACCGTCTCTATGATCGTTTGTGCAGCTCAGAAAACTGCATGATCTGTTCTAACGGGAGAGACGGGGATTGCATGAGTTTAGGTATAATATACTTGATCTCATGTAATGCATGCGGCGAGGAATATATCGGGGAAACGGATAGACCACTTTGTGTCCGCATAAAAGAACATCTAGATGGGAAAGCTAAAATCCGTTTAAACCCCCTCTAGGTACGCATAGGGCACAAAAGCACAACGGCGATGATTTTGAAGTGAATGTGCGGATCCTAGCGCAGGAATCAAAAACATCAACGCGCAAAACTCTTGAGGCGTTTTGGATAAATTTCAAAAATCCAAAGATGAACCGGAAGGACGAATGCCTCACTATCACACGTGACCTGGCGCCCTATTTCAAAATGATATTTTGACCCCNCTTTAAGCTGCCCTTCATATCAAACGAAGTAAGTCACTCCATTAAAAAGTGCTTAAGAAAAAGTGGTCTTGAAAATTATGTAACGATTGTTGACATCCCACCCAATACCCTACGCCGCCAGTTAGTTCGAAACCGTCTCTATGATCGTTTGTGCAGCTCAGAAAACTGCATGATCTGTTCTAACGGGAGAGACGGGGATTGCATGAGTTTAGGTATAATATACTTGATCTCATGTAATGCATGCGGCGAGGAATATATCGGGGAAACGGATAGACCACTTTGTGTCCGCATAAAAGAACATCTAGATGGGAAAGCTAAAATCCGTTTAAACCCCCTCTAGGTACGCATAGGGCACAAAAGCACAACGGCGATGATTTTGAAGTGAATGTGCGGATCCTAGCGCAGGAATCAAAAACATCAACGCGCAAAACTCTTGAGGCGTTTTGGATAAATTTCAAAAATCCAAAGATGAACCGGAAGGACGAATGCCTCACTATCACACGTGACCTGGCGCCCTATTTCAAAATGATATTTTGACCCCGGGGCGTGTCTTGCTCGCGTGAACTACGTGTCGGCCAGTCCCGCACGTAACATCACGGTGAGTGGCCTTTCTGTTCAATATGGCGTCTATTTGAAAGTTTGATCTTCATTAATACTTTAACCTTGTTTTCCACCGAATAATAAAAAGTATTCTAACATAAAGTACGTCCAGGCTCTGAGGAAGGCGAAGTCGCCGAAACGTCAGCCATCGTTCAATAACATCAAAAACAACGACAACGAAGATCTATACCAACCTCGCGTCAGCTTAAGAAGATCAGTTTATAAGATCACATAAATAAATATATCAACTATCTATGCCGAGGTTCATAGAAAGTCGGTCTTTCGAATCACAAGACTACATAGAAAAAAAAATAACTAACAGTAGCCCAATCTAGAACTAATTGCGATGAAAATAATTATAACAGTAATGAGAGGCTTAAATGTTTTAATTCTGTCACACAGCAACCCTCCACTGAGCAGTTAACAACAAAAAGGAGGAAGAAACTTTTATTTATTCCTACTACTACTTACTTACATATTTGGATGGCCCGTTTTCGTTGGTTGGGCGGGCCCCAGCATAAATTCGGCACTCCGGATAATTGCTAGTTTAGCATTTGTGACTCTCTGGAGTTCCGTGGTCGGCCTAGCCGAAGCCTTCCTCGAGTCGTCACCACCTCACGCAGTCACCGCCCTTATGGATCAAAGAGAAATTTCCTACCATGCAACTAGTTTCGTACCGGTACGGTGGTGGATCCTGGATGGAGACCTTGGATGATTAGTGGAGCCAATAATGATACAGGTTATCCAGAAATCCCCAAGTTATTGTGATTTGAACCACAAATTGATCTGACTACCATCTAAGTAACAATCACACAAAATGTCTATTTCTACTCTGAGCCATTTCATTTTCTTCCTCCAGTTTCATAAAGCTTTCGATCAGCGCCATTACATTGACCCCAACTCTGACCCTCGCTCTTTCGCTTATCCCTTTCCATGTTGCCATTCGACTAGTTTTTGTTCATGTTTCACTTTATCTCCTCATCATCCTTTCAACGGCCTGCTTTTTTATGCAACGAATAACTGAAAATATACAAAATTAAATGTATTCTTTCTTGATGAGTTTACACGAGGTTGATAAATATATTTATTTCGGAAAAAAACAAGTTGTTTATCACCGAGCATTATCGTTATATCGACCATCAGCATCATGTATGAAAGGGTATCACCAGGTGAGTATGCCGCATTCGAGGAGATGGACCGCTGAGGAAGACCTGACTCAACACGAAGGCGAAGCCTCCATATAGAGGCGAATAACAAGCGTGGGCCGTCGACTCGGATAATCGGCTCTGATGAAGACGAAGATGTCGAAACGTTAGCCGAAATAAATATATTTATCAACCTCGTGTAAGCTCATCAAGAAAGAGCACTTTTGATTAGTCACACCGAGGTTAAAGGAAAGTCGGTTTCCAAATATTACTATGCTTTATATAAAATTAATTAGTCAATTTCAAATTTGCGGTAAGAAACTAAAAATCTTTGTATTAAGAAGCTTTTTTGCCAATGAAATTGAAAGCATAGCGCATTCCTAATGGGCCGACCAACCCTTTATACCTCTTTGAACCACAGTGTCCACCATTTTTGTATCGAGCTTCTACAAGTCATTCAGATTCCATCACTCCAATAGTTTTCCCATCCTGAAACTTTTGCGCTGTTTAGTTTCTTCGTTTCGAAAACGCTATTCTATATTGTCTAAGTCAGAAAATTCTGCAATATTCCCCATTTTAGATGAATACATCCTTATTGGCGGCTAGCAGCATATATGATGAGACGGTTTTTCCTCAATGCAAGGAATGGTACTGCCGTAAGTTTCTTCTAACTGCTTACTGCAATTCGCATATCATAGCGAAATAAACTTCAACAAAGATTAAGAGAAATTCACCATCTTCTAAACTAACGAAAGTGGCTACTAAAGAACAAAGTTCATTTTGTTGATTGAAATCTGCATGATTTCCATAGGTTAATTTCTTATCCAGTTATTCATTTTGAATGATCTTACTAATTAAAATCACTGAGAACTTTTCAATTACTGAATACTGATGGATCAGTTACTCCAATTCTTATACAACTAAGTTAGCATTGTGATTTCAATTGCTACCCCAGCTTGACTGGGTTCAATGCCGATTTGGGCTGCACAGATCAATCCCCTTCTTGTATTTCGCGTAATACCCTGCCATGAAAAATTGTAGAAAGCAGCAAGTAGAAAAAAAGCTTATACAACTATTTTGGCCTGAAGAGATGGTAGATTTTAGCTCTTTCTTTAGAAAGTAAACACATGAACTATTGTTAGGCACGCCTCCTCTTGTCATGTCATGGACCAATTGCAAATTTCAGGTTGGGTAGTAAACATACGAAAATTTACAAAAACTGCGCACAGGGATTTACGGTAGTAGGTTTCTAGCACTGCAATAGAGAGCGACATCCTTTAAAAAAAATAAGTTAACTTATACTTTCGTTTCATTTGTAAACTATCTCTTTCAATGAAACATTGACACTGGCTATTCACACAGAAGTTAAGTGAAGGTGGCTTTACTAAACACAGTGTGATTAAAATTCTTGTCTACAATATAGTGGTCTCATCTTCTCTTCCTACTGTAAAATATGGAAGAGTGCAGCCTCGGCTTAACTGGGTTCATTGCCAATCTGGGCTTCCCAAATCAATCCTGTTAACGGGTGATTACTGATTGCACTGATCGGTGAGAAACTAGCTGAGAGAGAAGCGAACGAAAAACTCACATAATGTGCAGTAAATAAAAAATTAACATTATATAGGAGATTAATAGTTCCTTGAATACTCAATACTTGACATGTGCAATCTCAATCCAAAATTCCCGGTTTTACAGCCGATTACTTTACTCCTGTTCAAATAGTATCGTTACTGTTGATGTTCGGACGAGTTGCCTTGGCTATCATCATTCTACTGTTAGGACTTCGAGTTAGTTTTCTTTTAGGTTTTCAAACCTCGTCAACGCCAGCATTTCATTTTGATTATGTTGCAGATGGAAAAGGATTTCATGCGATCGATCACGACAGCGATCTTCATTCCAATGATGTTTTGCGAAATTTTCAATACTTACTGTGAAGTTATCGCATATATTAATTTATTCACTCCTACCAAAGAACAGTACATTTGGATCAAATCGTTAGTCTTTCGTCAGCGTTTGTTTCAGTTATTTTTATAATTATCATCCATGTTATTAATGGATTCGCGACTTTTTTGTATTGAATTGTTTTTTCAGCTGAACAACTTTTAAACGGATCTACCATTAAGTACAAAACTTTAATTAAAAAAAGGTTAAGGGATAAGGCTCTCGGCGTTGAGCAATTCCTGACGGATGCGCCATGCATTCGACTTCATTAAGTATCGTTGGAGTTGATTGAATGCACGTCTGTCTTACATAATGACTCGTGGTGGCCTACTGATGTATCGAGCCAGTTTTGCTATCCTCCTAGACAAGTCTGGTACCAATTTTCCAACCCCAGAGGGATGGAACGCTTGATGGGCGATGGGAGCGGGGATCGATTCCACGTGTGTGTTGCAGGGCGCCTCCGATCAATGCGCCACACCCCCCTAACTTTAATAAATACGTGCATAAATTTCCTACTATATAACGAAACTACGTAGATCGCTATTTTTTCCTTCTAATAAATGATTTTGATAACCAACTAAGTACAAGCGCAAATAACACACAGAGCAGAATCGCTGCAGGACCCAAGTAGAAGTGATACGGAAGCTCTCCATTTTTTTCGGCCTTCCTTTCTCAAAGGACCAGTTACATATTTCGATAAAAACCTCACTCAAAAAGTTTGAAAAAATTTCTCAGCGGGGCAAAAGCACTTACTCCAGGATTGTAGACTGAGAGTGATTTTCGTTTCACTACTTCCATGAGGGAAGGCTGAAAACATGCGACTGAATGCATCGATATAAATTCATGGCTTGGTGGCTACATGGGTAGACAGTATGTGTTAGCTTAAATTGCTCGCAAAATGGTTTCTTTAGATAGTTTTTATATTTAATCGACAGCCCATTAAACCTAGATATTGTACCAATTGTTGTCCATGAAAGACTGCGCTACCCATTTAATACCCATGACCGACTTTCTGTTAACCTCGGCATTAATTGATAATTCAATGTTTTTCATCAATAAGCAGACACGAGGTTGTTAATATAGAATTTATTAGAACACAATTGCTGACGTTTCGGCGGTTTCGCCTTCTTCAGAGCCTGGAAAGGTCAAATTGAGATGCGATCTACTCAGCCAAACACTTTCATAACCCTAGCAGATAAAACTTGATAAATCGATTTGTATTCGCATAAGAAACAGCTTCATTCAAACACCTACCGTTTATTTGTCGTAAGTATTTAAGTTAGTTGGTGGATAGCCGCCGCACAGAGTAATACATGGTCGATAACTGGGTCCATGTCAGATCATTGGATCAGCCTGAGGTATGGCGCTAGGTCACGCGTGATGACAAGACACTCCTCCTTGCGGTTCATTTTTGAATTTTTGGCATTGATCGGACCGCCGAAACGTCAGCAATTGTGTTCTAATAAATTCTATATTAACAACCTCGTGTCTGCTTATTGATGAAAAACATTGAATTACCCATTTAATATTTTACAAAAAAAAAACCTCGAGTTCGCACGTGTAGCGCAGTGGTCGGAGGCACCCTGCAAAACACACGTAGATTCGATCCCTGCACCCATGGCCCACCAAGCTTTCCATCTCTCCAAGGTTGTCAAGTTTGTATCAGACTTATCTGAGAAGAAAGCAGCACTGGCTCGATACATCGGCAGGCCACCGCGAGTTATTGTAAAGGTCAGGTGTGCATTCAGCCACTTCCAAACGATGCTTAGAGAAGTCGAATGTGTGGAACAACCCTCAAGAAATGATCAACGCCGAGAGCTTTATCCTCTTATCCTTTAAAATCAGTTCCTCGTAAAAATAAGCCTAGTTCCTTGTGGGTTAACAAGTTTCTTTTAGCACTTATCTGGGTTGGACACACAGTTTGCTATATGTGATTTACAACTATGAGCATTATAATGTACTGGTAATGGTTATAATGATGTTGTATTGTTGTCGATTAGCTTATCAAGGAGAAGAACGTATCGACGCTTTTCCTCTGAAGTAAGTTTCAGCCAGACACATAATGAAGGATGTCATTAGTAATTTATGAACACTTTTTGTTTTTCCTACTTACATTTAATATTCTCCATTGTTGGGACAATAATATACTACCCAGGTAAATGACATAATGATTTTGGTAATGGATGAGATAATGAGATGCAATGAGAGAAAAGCACTTATGTGAATACATTTCTATGCGAACAGTGATTTCAAGTCTCAGTAGATCCATTTGAGATCATTAACATGAGATTCTGATCCGATTTGTGTCTTGTTGGTTCAAAGAGCATTTTCCATGGAATTCCAACACATCCGTATTTTTCCATGGAATTCCAACACATCCACATCCCCACGATCTATGCTTAGAACGAGTCTGACATATCTATCCGAAAACCCAACAGAGACAGCAAAGTCATACACGTGGATACCTCATTGTCGAAAGCAATGAAAATAGTACAATAGACGGCTTCGTGCCAAGCGTGCTTTATTCCTATTGTCCCATGGGTTCGAATACACAGAGCAGTTCCAACTCGCGACAGAACGATTCGAGGTTGTGCCGGCTTCGTGTAGAGTCACTCCGCGATCATGAGTTATACCAAAAGTAATAAATCACCTGTTCTTTTTTCAAATAGACCACCCTAAAAAACATGCTGTTTAAATAAATCTAACTAGAATCATAAAGAGAATATTTTCAGCACGATATGTCTGGTGGCGCAATTTATCCCTTTCTTTCTCAGTGTGCTCTACTATGTTACCGATGGTACCACAGAGATAGCGCTTCTGATTCTTTCGATCGCTTCACGCGTGTTTCTGATCATCTGCTTCATTGTCATCAATCTACAGATACTCTCAGTAAATATAAAACCTACCAAAAAACTCAGCAGTAAAAGAAGAATTGAGATGGTTCGATTGTCTATGGAAAACACGCAAAAAATCACAGCACGAAAAATCAATAAGTATTTTTTGCGCTAGAATACGATCAATTTTTCTCTTCGTTTTCCCAAAGAGCTTCGCAATTTCTGTATCCAGTTTGTGCATTTTTACAGTCCTTTCTTCTACTTTGCACGGAGCTACCGTATACCCATGCCAATTCCGCCGATATGCAACTTCGTGACGCTCGGAGCCGACTCTTCTGGACACTGGTCTATGTCATTTCTCCGTATATTGCATTTATACCATTCATAGGTTAGTGAGATTGAAAACCATTAGGCTGACAGTCTTAGCTAAAAGTTGTGTCGTTCTGTTCTGGGAGATTCTCCACATATTCGAGTTGTTGAGTAGTTAGGGTCCAATCAGTTGCGTATGAACATTACAATCTTCCAGTTTTTTAATTCCAAGTTCTCTGAACCTCTTATCACATTGTCATATCCACCTCAACTATGCATTTAAATTGTTGAGCTTACACGAGGTTGATAAATAGATTTCGGTTAATTTTTCGACGTCTTCGTATTCATCAGAGCCAATTGTCCGTGTCGACGGTCCGCAGTTGTTTATCTTCTAGAAAGGTTGTTCTTCTTCTCTTCTCATGTTCATCTTCTGTTCGTCTTCGAGAAGAACAATTGGGGACCATCAGCTGGGATCATCTGCTATGACCAAGACGAAAACGTCGAAACATTAGCTCAAATAAATCTATTTATCAATCTTGTGCAAGAACAACGATTTAAATACATGCCGATTTGTCATACCAAGGTTAAACGAAAGTCGGGTTTGAAACTCTCTTCTGGAGCACGAATTACCGAAAGTCTTCTTTTAGAATTCCAAGCTGCTTCTTTCTAATCTTTGAAATCAAGACAGGACGAACTAGAGATGAAGTCGTCTTTAAAATCAAGGCGCGTCAGATGATCCATTTGAAAATTTGGTTAGAAAAGTTCTTTAAAAAAAACAACTACACACTGTAACCCGAAAAATTGCGAACTCTGTAGAACATATAGACTGATTATTGATTTCAACTCACTATTTACTGCCTACTCTTTTTAATGGCAGGGTATGTTGCGAAATATAACTTAAATACAACCACAACGCTGCTGAGATATTTGCAAAACTCTGGACTGCAGGTGTCTATGGTGGGGAACGAACGCGCTGTTATCCCTTCCGGGGAGTAACGCGTTCACCACCACACCATGCGGGTCCTTCGTTTCGCCTGTCTCTCAGCTAGTTCTATCGATCTTT